AGGGTGTGGGTGGCTGAGGGTGGGTGTGGGTGTGGGTGTTGGTGTGGGTGTGGCCGTGCTTGTTGTTGTGCATATGGGTTTTGAAGAAAACATCCACATCCCACACCTACACCAACGCTCCACATCCACACCCACGCTCTACACCCCACACCCACATCCCACACCCACACCCTCAACTTCACTTCTGAAAGTAGATATCATGTTCATTTTATTTCACAACATCGTGACTACTTTACAAGCATGTACGAAACAGTCTCAAGACAAGGTTATATATAAGCGTTCGATTAGAGTGAATTCGAGATTATATTTCTTGATCTTTTTCCATCCCAAATTTCGACCAACATTTCTGTGCCAAAGCCAAATTCTTCTCCAAACCATGTTCTCCATAATAGAAAGATGCTCCAGTGTCAATTGCTTCATCTGAATTACTTATTTTGTTGATAAACTGTTGATCTCTAAAATCTGCTGTGCTAACAAGGCAAGATAATTTTTGAAAGAGCCACATAAACGGGTAGAAGAACCAATGAAATAGTGGCCGAAAATTTGACTCTCGTTTTAGCTGAAACAAGAGACGATTACGCCTGTCAATATACGTTTTTTCACGCTTATCCAAGTCAACAGCTTCCTCTAGATCTTCCAATGCGAGGTCATATTGTTTTAATTCGCATTCATATATCGAACGTTTATAGTATGACGTAGCATCATTCTCGCGACAAAAAATTTGTTCTGAATAATATTTTATCGCTTCTTCAGGTGTGTCAAATCGGAGACGATCGTCTCCTTCAAGGCCAGGATCGAGGCCATCGAATCCTTGAGGTTCGTAACCACATTTGTCCATTTGAGCTATCACCTGACCAGGTAACGGACCATGATTGCCACTGACTCTTCTGAAGTCGTCGTTGATTAAACTGATTAATTCTAGGTCGTTAATCATAAATGCTAATTTTTTCAGTTTGTCCAGTGAACGAATATATTCCACTGCTTGGAATTCTTGATGACAGATTCGATTTCTTGTGCTTATACCTTGGTATATAATTCTCTTTTGACCTTGTGTATAATAGCATTGCGGGGCAAATACATCATTCCAATGTTTTTTAATAAAATGAAGTATCTCAAGAAAATCTTGAGGGTGTATAAACTGGCAAAGCGCCTTATCGACATTCTCACATCTACTTACGGTGAAACTACGAAGTTGTGGAGTTAGTAGATAAATAATTTTTAGTAAACTGCCGGCATGAGTCGCTCTTTCTTCACAAGCCGCTTGCTGTTTCATGAATGAATCAAATGCACGTGGTCTCTTGCGGGTCGGTCGTTCTTTGTCCATGAATGGCTGTAATATATGTAGTCTCCTAAAATTGAAATCATTTTTAGAAGCAAGCTGTTTATTTGAGAACAGTCATGTATTTACATAGTTCTGATCTGTTCTGTTTTCTCCTCTTCTATATATTTTGACACATACATAATAAATTATTCATTAGGCCTCAAAATATGTGTTTTGTGCGCCTCTAGACTATGTTTTTGATGGCATAGGGTAGAATAAATCAAATCTTTCTAGCTTTTTTGTAGGATGTGTCTCGGTGAAGAGAAAAAAAATAGAAGGGTGCAAACAGATGAGGACAAGGATAAGTACCGCAAGTGAAAGTATTATACAGTTGCACTTTAGAAAATGTACTAGTACTTAAATACAGAAAAAGTACGTCTCAGTTTTACTTGACGTATAAATAAAATAAATGCCGTTGTTGAGGTTGATTAGCTCTAAGAAGTTTAAGAATTATTATATTATCTTCATATCAAAAAGTTAACGAAACTATAATGCTTTAATGGTAAGTTTCACTCGAATATGTCGATAAATTCGACGCAAATCACTTTTAAAGGGCATCTCCCTTCTGGGATGGGTGCAGTGTTTCCAATGGAAATCTACAACAAAATGTACATGTACACTTTGATTATATATACAAAGTGTACCAAAAGCAAAATTTTTAAAATCCAAAAAGCACAAAATAATGTTGTGTTTTTTTCACAAAAAATATAAAGTAATACTTGATAAATGAATAAATGATACATAGACGTACTATCTCATAATCTGACACGTTCCTTGGCAAAATTACAAAAAAAAGGTTTACAAAAACAAAAAGTTAATATGTATTTTTTTCAAATAGTATATTCTAAAAATACGAATTATTTTCGTCTTCACGATGATGCAAAAAGGATGTAGAGAGTTTTGCGGATTTTAACGTGTGTCCCATAAAGAATGGCCCTCTCAGTATTCTCTCAACAACTTCTTTATTTTTTTCAACTTTCTGGCTTCAGTTTTTGTCCTAACGATCCACCTTCCAATTCTACACTAGACTTTTATCAAAAGTTTTTCTGAAGAAGGTTGACCATGACCAGAAAAGGAAAACAATAATACTGAACAAGTAGAAAATAACTAACATTCAAAGCTATTTTCAAAATAAACTTCAGAAGATGTTTTTACAATACTAGAATAAAGAAAACCAAAGTCAAGAGGCTTTTGAGTACTTTCAAGTTTGCTCTTTCTTGTCCTGCAGCGCAACGCTGGTTTGAATCATATCCTAGAATAAGAAACCTGACTTTCTATAATAGGATTCAAAATGCCGAAACTCACTATTTTTCACCGAAGGAACAGAAATAC